GGCCAAGGTAGAAGAAAGGGCTCCTCTCCTGATTTCTCTTGAACTTGCTGTCTTTCATTCAGTCAGAACTATTTATTGAGCTCTTGCTGTACGCAGGTGCCAGAACTGCAGGATGGTCCAAGACCCAGCCCTTGTCCTCCAGGTGCTCACACCTGGAGGAGAGAGTGATCAGCAGGCAAGTGATGTAGGTCCAGCAGGACCAGGACTCTGGCAGACTCAGGCCCAGTACCACCTGGGAGCTCTGCTTGGTTGAGCATCAGGCTGGCCTTGGACCTGGAGCACCGTGTTTGTCTGATTAGTTTCTTTAAAAACGACCCCAGAATAGAAGTGTGGTCCTACAAATACAGGTGGTCCAGCGCGACTGAAGGACTCTAGAGATTCTTCTTTCTGTAGCAAGGAGCATCTTCCCGAGCTCATTATCCTCCGCGCAGCGCCTGCCGTGACGTGCCTCTGCCTTGGCTGTGGATCACATTTTACACATTTGCAGTCCCTGGGGCCATCAGAATGACAGGCACGTCACACCCAACTGTCAGCCCTCTCCTGTCCTAACACACTGTTCTCTGACTTCAGACTCACTGGTCCTAATTATAAAAGGACAGGCTGGGATGGGGGTCCCTGCTCCTTCACAGGGCCCCAGAGGAGGGCCAGGCTCTCTGTCTCACTTATTTATTCATTAATTTATAAGAAGGATAGAAAACCAATTATGTCCTGTGTGTGTGTGGGGCGGGCAGTTACAGGGATGAATAAGATACGGTTAGCCCTTCTAGCCTGGGATGGGGGTGTGGGGGCCTGGGGAACCAGGGAGGGTTTTCTGGAGAAGGTGGCATTTGAGCTGGGCCTGGGAGGATGGGTGAGAATGAAAAAGCAGAGAGTGTTTTGGGCAGAAAGAAAAGCACGAGCAAAGACATGGAGGCTGTCCCTGGGGATGGCCCTTCCTTTGGAGGCGGGGCTCCGGCCCTCCCAGGCCAGCCCTTCCTCTGAGTTCCCATATGGGGAGTGTCAGGCTCTCCCATCACCCTGGCTCCCGCCCCCTTCCCTGCTGACGTGGCTCACCATGACAGAGGCCTGAGGCCGCTCCGTGGCAGATGCAGGACACAGCATCTCCTGGTTGATTTGCTCTTACCAGAGCCCTCAGCCTTTCCCACGTGGGCTGCTTGGGGAGCACAACTCATTCGACTCAATTCTGCAAGGTTTGCTTTCAGGACCCTTGCAGGGGAGCTCTCTTGGTCCTAGGAGAGGAGCTCTTATCACAGTCACGGTTAGAATGGCCTGAGCCCCCAAGCAGGAAATCAAGTTGCCATGATCCTAACAGTTCCATTTATCAAGCTTGTGCTAAGTGCCCAGCACCTTCAGGGCTGCTGCAGCACATGGGGAGCTCTGGCAAGTTTGAAAAAGCCTCTTGCTTGGGGCATGGAGGATGGGTTCGACTGCAGCCCCACTCGCAGCCTCAGGGAAATGTCCTTGTTTGTGCACAACCTGAACAACTGTGCTTGGCGGCCCTGGGCCTGTCTAGTCAATATCTCATTTAATCCACATAATTGCCCTAGGAGCTAGTGTGTGCTGTTTTCATTCCTCTTTTACAGTCAAAGAAACTGATTCTTTGAGAGCTTCAGGAACTTGTTGAAGGTCTCCTAATTGGCAAGGGTGGGAGTGGCTTCACGCCCAGGCATGTCTGTCTGCAAGTCCTGCCCTTTCTTTGCCACCAGCTCCTGCTGCCAGCCGCTCAGGCCTCCCATCTGATGGGCTCTTAGCTGATTTTCCAGTAATTCTCCCCTGCTGTTCTGGGGCCTGTTATCATTCATTATTGCGTTTTGTAGCTTTGTAGATTGTTTTATTTTTTACTCCCAGCGGCTTGTTGCTTGGGAGCAGCTAAGAACCTGGCGCTCCCCTCCTCTAAATGCATCGTGTCAGATGCAGGTTTATCTAATTTACTATCAGAGTTGGCGGCGGCACCTTGTCAATTCCATTTCGAGCTTATTTCCTCCCTGATGATTTCCATGCAGGTGGTGGTCTACCTGCCAGCCCCTGGGCCAGGTTTCCATATGCATCTCACCTGGTTGTGACCTTGGGGACATCGGGGTTGCATTTAGCCCCTCGGCAGGGGGTATCTACATACAGCAAGTCTTAGGAGCACCTGTTCTTTAAGGAGCAAAACCCCCACGTATTGGCAGGTGCTTGGGTTCGGAGGCAAAAGACCCGAATTCAAGGCCTCTTGCTGCTGCTTTGTTGCTCTGTGGTCCCAGGCAAATTGCTTAAGCTCTGGGAGACTCTGTTTCTTCATCTGTGAAATGGACAGGAATGAGGCACTATTTTCCTTCCCCCAAGTGGCCCCCAAATGGAACACTTTGATGGTATCACGAGTTGGTAAGGATGTAGGAACGTGAGGATCCTCACATAATGCTGGTGGGAGAGGAAACAGTGCAACCACAATGAACTCCATTTTGGCAAGTGTTTTTTTTAAAACTGTCAATGTTCATACCCTTTGCCACGGTCATTCCAACTGCCAGGGTCGTTCCTAAGGAAGCACACAGGTCCACTGCAGTCTTGTTTAATTTACAAACAAACCAATTGTTCATCAGTAGGGGATGACAAAGTAGATTGTGGAATATTCACTCTGTAGATTACGCTGCAGCTATTAAACTGTTAAAAAAGAATGAAGTGAATCTTCAGGTGACAAATGGATAGACTTATTGGCGAGTGAACAGAAGCAGTGTTTAGAAAGATAGAATGAGAAATTTTTTATAAAACAGAAATAGAGAACAGATATTTTCTTAAACAAAGTCTTTTAAAATTGTGAATTATACTTACAGAAAGATACACAAAACAGAGACGCCCTGTTTAGTGATTTCTCATAAAGCCAACCTCGCTTATCCATCTCAGAGGTCAAAATAGAACATTGCCCCCAAAATTCCCCCACCTCTGCAATGACCCCCACCTTCACCCCAAGAAGCACCCACTGTCCTGGAGTTTATGGTGGTCACTGTCTTGATTCACTTGATAATTTTGCCACCTAAGACTGCAGTCCTAAACACTGTAGTATAATTTTGCCTGTGTTCTGTATTTACATTAAAGGAGTCACACCGTGTAGTCTGCTGTGACTGGTGTCCTGCTCAACATTATTTTGTGAGACTTAACCCCAGAGTTGTTCTTCTAGGTAATTTTTTTGGGACATGAGCATGAATATAAATGACTAGGAAAAGAGATCTGGAAAGGTACTCCCGAAAGTGATGGCAATTTGGGAGAGGAACCTGGATGCAGGCATGGGAGTGTTTTAAGGAGATTTAGGGATCTTATCTGTTAATTGAATTTTTCTAAAGGAGGGATGTATTGATGCATTACTTGGCTAATTACATTTTAATAGAAAGAATAAAATGGAGAGAATAATACCTGTTTGCCAGAGTTGATGGGAAAGTGAAATGAGTTAATACAGGTAACCTTGGGAACCCAGAGTAGGTTGTCAGTGAAAGGGAGATGGATACAGTTAAACACAAACTGAATCTCTTGGAGACACCCAGAGGGGCAGTATGGTGGAGTGGTTAGATGCATGGGCTCAAGACAGCCTGGGTTCAAATCCTGACTCTGCTATTTTCCAGTTGAACAATTTTTTTAACTTCTGTCTCTCTCCCTGACTTTTACTTGCCTACATTAATTATCTATTGTTGCCCCAAACTTAGTGGCTTAAAACAACAATTGTGGATTATCTCTCGTGGTTTCTATGGGTCAGGACTCTGGGACTGTAGTAGGTGGGGATTGGGGCTGAAGTCTTCGGAAGGCTTTCCGGGGGCTGGGAGGTGGCCTCCAGGGTGGCTCCCTCACTTGGCTGCCAAGCTGGGAGTGGCCAGGGGGCCCTTCTCCACGTGCACCTTGCCACGGAGCTGCCTGGGGAGTCCTCACAATGTGGCGGCTGGCTTCCCCCAGAGCAGGCAGTCCAGACACCAAGTCAGAAGTTGCGATGCCTTTTGTGACCTGGCCTTGGAAGTCACAAACTGTCACTTCCGCAGTGTTCTATTAATCACCCGTTTCGTGCACAAGGACATGGGGAGCAGGAGGTGAGGCTCCTGGGGAATCACGCAGGGGCTGGTTTTACCACTTCCCACCTGTCACAGGGGTAGTAGTATTCACCCCCTAGGGATTTTATGAGGAATAAGTGAAGGAATCTGTGTAAAAGCGCTTAGAACAATGGCTCACACACGCAAGCTTCCTAGGTATCATTATTTCAGAAATGCTGCCAAAGGCATAACCTTCATGAATTCTTCTGGGCTTTATTTTATTTCCTAATTTTGTAATTGTAAGTTGGTGCTCAGGTTTCCTGGAATGACACGCCATGTAACAATAGTCACGAATGGCTGTGCTTTGGAGTCCCCGCCAGGGCAGCGTTTGAGCCACTGCACAAAGACGGCGCCCCACATAGCCATTTTGCATGTCAGCTTCACTGCGCGGACTGGTGCCCAGCAAGACGGTAGGGCTGATTTTCATCTCTTTGGGAACAAGCATTGAGTCGTTGACATCAATCACTTACCACATCAAAGCCCCAGAGCATTGATGTGAGAGTAGACTTATTACTTTCGCCTCAGAACAGGAAACTAGACCGTCTTCAGTGCTTTAGTTCAAGGAGCCAAAACTCAAGTGCCTATGAGGCCAGATAGGGAGCCCACATTTGGGAAGTGGCCGAGGGTGAGAAGAACCACGTAAGCATGATGATAAATAGTAGTCGACCCTTGGTCTCAGTGTTGGAGAAATGAGAGGGAGTGGTGGGGACTCTGGCAAACAGGACCACAGATGCCCTGTCTCCAGGGCCATTGTCTTTCAGGTGCCAGGAAGTCATTGTCTGCAAGACTGTGGGCCAGCACTGCCTGGATTTCTGCTTCCTCCTCTCAGCGCTTTGCTACCATGGCTCCCCACCATAGTGAACTGTTGGCCCTCGAAGCTCAAGTTTTCAGTTGATTTGCAACCAGTGGGTAAAGTGGCTGGTGGCCTGATTAGCTTCTCCCTCTTCTGTAGCATTGGGGATCATCATCACCATCATACACCAGGGTTCCGACTGACCAGATCGTGACAGCAGGGGGACTTGCTGACTTCCTTCATCTGACAGCATCCACTGATTGACAAGGTGAGGTTTGTCACTCTGTGTCAGGCCATGAGCTGGGGACTGGAGATCAAAGCCATTTCAGAGTACCCCTTCCCAAGTGTCTTATAGAGGAAACAGACTTATCTCAACAGTTCATTTGGGGGCTGTGTGGTATCCACTCCAGTGTCCACATGATGTGAGACCTGGGATATTTGACAGATCCGAAGGCATCAATAGTGGGCCAGATGTACTTCATTCGCCTAGAGGAGGGGTGAGTTGGGATAGGCATTATGGTTTCCTGCCTAATGTACATTCCCTCTCCTTCCTTTTCTATCTGTCAAGGAGGCTGAAAAGGGTAGATACTTTCCCTGCCTCCCTTGTGGGTGGCAGTGGTTAAATGACCCAGTTCTGGCCAGTGAGATGTAAGTGGGATTTTGCTGAGACTTTTGGGGGAATAGTTTCCCCTTGATAAAGGGAGGTGAGCATGTGGGGAAATTCTTTCTCACTATCCTGTTTGCTTCCCTACTTCCTACTTTTGGAAGTGGTTGGGTGAAGATGTGATGTCTGGAGCTGCAGCAGCCATCTTGTGCCTCTAGGAGAATTTCGGAGAATTGCATCACTGAGCCACTAGATCAACCCTCAGCCATCTACACTCAGACTTCTTGTTAGAGATAATTGAATGCCTTTGTTATTTAAGCCACCGCTAGTGGGATTTTTACTTTCAACCAAAAGCTGTGTTCCTAACGTTATAGGGAGTGTTTGAGTATGTTATCTGAGCATGTTATCTGAGGGTATGGAGATTGGGTGCCCCTTTAACTTCCACATATGCTCGAATTTGCTCTGTTCTACCCCTAGGCCATTTTCTTTTCTTTCTTTTCTTTTCTTTTTACTTCTGAACCTAAAAAATTTAATTGTGAAACATATCACTTACACAAAAGAGTGTTTGACATAAGTGTATAGTGTAATGAATAATAATAAAAATACCCATACCCTTGCCACCCAAGTTAAGGATTAGAACATTACCAAACCTTAGACACTCCCTGGGTGTGCTTCTGCATTGCACTCCACTTCTCCCCCAAGCTCACCACTCTCCTTAACTTTATGCTAATCATGTTCTGCTGTTCTTTATAGCTTTACCACCCATGTATCCCCAAAGCATGATGTTTAACTATGCCTGTTTTTGAATTGTATATAAACGGGAGCATCTGAGATGCTGGCTATTTTGTAGCCATTGCCAATGAGGCTGCTCTGGCACCCTTGTCCGTGTCTCAGGTGCACATGGGCAAGAGTTGCTCTGGGGCACGTACTTTTGAGGGGAGTTGCTGGGTCATAGGAATGCATGCTCTACCTTGGTTAGGTAATGCTAAATCCTTTTCTAAAGTGGTGGCACCAATTTCTATTCCTCCAGCAGCGGCTGAATGCTTGTGTTGCTTACATGCCCACCAAACTGGGCACGTTCTGTTCTGAGTGGCCCTGAGGCCAAGCAGAGTTGACCTCTGCTCTTTAAAGGTGCTCTGTCCCATTTACCATTAAAAATCAGCAGTCATACTTCTTTAAATGATCTCCTCAATGTTATTTGGTGGGGGGAAGTCTTAAAATGAGGCCATTGCCTCACTCATGGCTTTATCTCTGGTTCTACTGATTTTTGAGTTCCTAATAAGGGGAAAAACCGATTTGATATTCTCAGTCATCAAATATGCCCCTGATTCGATTTGCTTCCATGTCAGCAGGAACTTCTCTTAAAGGTCAGCATCCAACTTCTCTCCTTCGATTCTCTCTGTATTTTGAATAATCAACTCTGCAGATGGAGGTAAATTCTCGGATTCTTAGGTGTGTATACTGCAGGGAGGTGAGGACGTTGGGGACGACATGGGGCAGCCAAGAAGATTTGGAAGGATGTGAGAGGCCTTCCCTGGCTCTCATTACTGACTTGGGCAGGTCCCCTACCTTCTCTGAGCCTCAGTATTCTCTTCTAAAACAGGGATGATAACATAGGGTTACTGTGGAGAGTTGGGGTATATAAGTCCTTTAGCCCAAAGCCAGCATGCAGTAAGTGCTCAATAAATGTTAGCAGCCACTCTCGGTTAGTAGTTCTCATCCAAGAGTGGTGCAGTGGGGTTGAGAAAAATTTCAGGCGTCACTGCTCTCATGCCAGAAATGTGCCCCTATACAGCCTCGAGATCTATAAAATTATGCACTAACAAGAAAAGGGACAATGAGAAGAAAAAAGAGTTGGGGGTAAATGGCTCAAAATCTACCAGAGCATCACAAAATCAGTAACGATTCTTATAAACAGTTGAGCACATGCAGCCTGCCAGGCACATTCACACCCAGGCACAGAGTCATCACAAGATTCAGCCTTAAACCCTGAGGCTCCAGCTGCCTCCTGAGATGGAGGTCCTGGCGGGCAGTGGCTTCTCATCAGGACCATTTTCATCAACACTGAAAATGTGATTGAAAGTGTAGTCTTGGCCATTAATCCATTGTTTCAGGAGAGGAAGGGAGGACTTCATAGCTTCTTCATCTCAACTTGCCATGTCCCCAGATTGCTTCACCCTGTGACAACACAGAGGTTCTTGAAGCCACTGTTCCAACGACTGTTTGTATCAAGGGAAGGCAGGCATTTCTGCAGAATTCCAGTCTTTTTCTTGAGTTCTTCAAATCCTGCTAAGGATATTTTTAAAACTGTACTTGTTCCTGACTATTTAAAAATATTAGCGTGCTGGGGAAAATCATGTATGGGCACAATTTCCCTGTTATTTCATCATCCTTTCCCTATTTACCAGTCATGGAGGAGGGAACTTTGCTAAAGGAACCTGCCTTATAGCAGAAGGAACTGTGTCCCCTGAGGGTCTTTCCAGCTCCAGTGTTCCAGGGTGTGGGCAAAGTACAGCTGAGGGATCAAATCCCACCCACTGCCCATTTAAATTTTTTGTTTCTTAATTTAAATTAAAATTTTAATGTATTTTGGAGGGGGGAGGTAATTAGGTTTGTTTGTTGGTTGGTTGGTTTGTTTGTTTATGGAGGTACTGGGGATTTGAACCCAGGACCTTGTGCATGCTAGGCAGGCACTCTACCACTGAGCTATACCCTCCCTGCCAAATTTTAATTTTTAATTGTAAAAAACCACATAACAAAATTGATTGCGTCAGCCATTTTTAGTGTCCAGTTTGGTAGTGTTAAGTACATCCACATTGTTGTGCCACCACCTGTTTTGTAAATAAAGTTTTATTGGGACACAGCCATGCCCATTTGTTTATGTATCATGTATGGCTGCCTTTTTGCCACAGTGTCAGGGCTGGGTAACTGTGACAGGCACCGCATGGCCCACAAAGCCAGAAATGTTTACTCTCTGGCTCTTTACAGGAAAAGTTTTCTGACCCCTGTTCTAGGATTAGGAAATTCTATGTCCATGGCCTCTTCCTGTTCTGAGTTCCCAGGGCTCCATCTCTTTCCCAGAGGCCAGGGCCAGTCGTGATAAAGGTCTGCTGCTGTAACAAAGAGGCTCGAGCACACAGTGGGGACAAGTTCGCCACTGCCAGCGGGGCTGCCGCAGTTTCTCCTTTGTGACTGAGGACAGCTCAGATGTGAGGGGTCACTAGTCAAAGCAGCTGGGAGTCATCCGGCCACCTTTTATGGGGCTGGGCTTCCATCCCTGAGTCACCGTCCACCCTGTACCCAAGAGACAGGGGACCTCCCCTGCGTCTGACAGGGTGTTGCTCAGGCTGCGCTGGTTAGCCGTGGCCCGGCCCTGTGAGGTCACGTCTCTCTGCTCCTGGCCCAGGCAGAGAGGGCGAACTCCCTGCCCCTGATGCTTTTGTCTCTGCGACACCACTAAGCTCAGACTTAACTAATTAGAAATGGATTCCTAACCTCCGTAGGTGGGGGGACTAGAGCCCCTGAGCCCCACACTTTGAGGACTGGTGCTTCCACGGAGGCCTTTTCCCAAAGCTCACATCCTGGCCAGGCTTTAGAAATACAGGGAAGTTTTATTATAGCATCATACCTACTCGTTGTAGTAATAGATGCAAATGTAGATGTAGTAATAGCCCTGTAGGACAAAAAAGTGAAGATTAAGAGAAGTGCTCTTTTTCCCTTGTGCTGTGGCCTGGCTTCTCAGTTTAGCCTGTTTTCCCCATTGTTTTCTCTCCATGTACACCCACATTCTCATGTACAGCAATGGAAGCAGGGACATTTGATTCTTCATTTTGCTTTCTTCTCGTGACAGTGGAACTCAGGTATTTCCCCACGTCTGTACCTGTGGGTCTGCTTCATTGTCTTTAATAGCTGTTTAGTAATCCCCCAATGGACATACACTTATTTATTCAGAATATAGACTTCCTTAAACTCTAGTACAGATGCCATCTTCCTCCAGGAAGTCTTCCTTGATTCCTGTAGCACAAAGTGGCACCTCCTGCTCCAAACTCGTAGAACCCTGTCCTGTATTCTGGTGCTACATTACTCAGGGTAAGGCTGCGCTGCTGTAACAGAGACCCCCAGAGGCTTATGGAACAGAGAAGATGTTTTTCTCTTAGGTCATAGTCCTGGTTGGTGGGGCAGCTCTGCCCCTGCCAGTCATCTCAGGACCTCGGTTCCTTCCAGGTCATTGCTCTGCCATCCCTTAGGTCAGCCTGTTGTCAGCATGGATAAAACTGGGGCCACTCAGGAAGCTGGGAAAGAGTGTGGAGGAGGCCAGCCTGGTGTCTTCATCCCTGACCTGCAGTGTCCACTTGCAAGCCATTGGTGAGAGCTCTGCAGGACCACGCCTGCTGCCCAGGAGCCTGGGTGGCGTCAGTACCATGGAAGAAGGGAAACAGGCTTTGGTGGGCGACAGCTAGTCTTTACCACAAGCCTTGATGCCTTAACCTCATGTTTGGGGTCCCTACATTCTCACTTCCCGGCTCTGGGAGCAGGATCCATCCCTGCATCTTCCTTCAGACCCACGCAGCACCTGGCATATGGTCGGTGCTTGGCAAACGCCCAGCCAGTGCGTGGTAACGTAGTCAGTCATTGAATCAGAGGGTGGTGGACTCTGAACAGAA